ATGATTTTTGTATATGGTGTAAGGGTGTGTTCTAGCTTCATTGTTTTACATGCTGCTGTCCAGTTTTCCCAGCACCATTTGCTGAAGAGACTGTCTTTATTCCATTGTATATTCTTGCCTCCTTTGTCGAAGATTAGTTGACCAAAAGTTTGTGGGTTCATTTCTGGGCTCTCTATTCTGTTCGAGAGGAATCTTTTGAGTTGAACACAGAATGTTGTAGAATTTGGATAGGCAGATTCAGAGACACAGGAGAAAACAATCAGATTTTGATAACCTAGATGCTCTGGAGCATCTTAGCCTGTGAGCTTGGTACTTGATGAATCTGGATAAATGTGCATCAATAAGTATAATTCTAATTTCAACATGTGGGATTTTCCCCATACCACCCAGCAGTTCTCCAACATGAGCTGGGTGTTCTATAATTCAGCTCAATTCTAACGCTATATACCTGGACGTAGCATGAGATCCCCACAGTTTAAGGGCTAGACCCTTAAGACTGTCCCCAGCCTTCTTCAGATGCCAGTGGCAAGTCCAGATTGTCACCTGTGCTTCTGATCATAGAGCAAAGGTTCCAGCACTGCCCCCCTCTTGGATTTGATTAATTTGCTAGAGCAGTTCACAGAACTCAAACATTACTAGATTACCAGTTTATTATAAAAAGGTGTAACTCAGGAACAGTCAAATGGAAGAGAAGCATAGAGAGCAAAGTAAGGGTAACAGGGCTTGGAGCTTTCATGACCTCTCTGAGAGGGCCTCTTTCACTGCACCTGCATGTGTTCGTCAACCTGGAAACTCCATATCTCATCCTTTTGGCATTTTACGAAGGCTTCATTATGAGGCATGGTGGATTAAATGATTGGCCATTGGCGACTGAGCTCAATCCTCAGCCCCGCTCCCCTTCCTGGGTAATCACGAGGTTAGTTCCCCTGGCAACCAGCCCCCTCCTTAGATGACCTAAGAGCATTCTAAGTCACCTCATTAACATAACAATGGATGCTCTCAGTGCTCTCCTAGGAAATTCTAAGTTTTAGGAACTGCCAGAAAATAGAGTCCAAGTATCTATTTCTTAACATAAATTCTTTCTGTGAACTGTGCTCAGGGAAGCAGTTGTTTTGATCCCAGATGTGTCCCACACTCTCTGTGTCTTTGTTTTTTTTTTGCCCCAGGTTTTCAATCTGCCTCATCCATTTTATTAATAAAATGTTTTTGTTTAATGGTTGGTTTACAGCTTTGAAACTCAGAGGAACGGACTGGTCTTTATCTATGACATGTGCGGTTCTAATTATACCAACTTTGAGCTGGATCTTGGCAAAAAAGTCCTAAATTTGCTGAAGGTAAGGCAAATGGGTAGGGTAGTTTTTTCTATTCTTTGGGAGATTCAGGAATGATATAAACTTCAGACATTATGTTCAGTTTAAAGGTCATCTGTAAATGATGACCAATATTTGCTTCCTCAGAACAAGAAATGGTCTTAAGTAAAGTGGGAGGAATTAAAATAAAATGCACAGAAACAGTGAGTCATAAAGATGGAATGTCTCTTTCTTGGAGTTTTGTGGAATAAGAATTAATGAAGGCTAGATATGGCCACTGTCTGTGAAAAAATGTCACCTAGCTAGTGACTTTCAGGCTTTTTCTCTCAGTCTGGTCAGAAATATGTTTTGCACTGCAATCTTTAGTACACAAAAGTATATGTATGCTAACTATACACATGTAGAGTTATAGAGATAGACAGGTTCTTCATCTCTTATCTCAAACTCTTAGGTCCAGAGGTGTTACCTAATATTTTGAACTTTAGAAGATAACATGGTGTGTATGTCATTCTATGATCAAATATTTCTGCAATGAAATATATTATTCATAATGAGTGGAGAGGAGCAAAGGTTATAAATAGCCTACGGCATTTCAGGGCAGATTTTGCTGTCCTATGACTTTCTGCACCAAACTTACAAAAGAAACTAGTGGTTAGAGCTGTTTAGATTTCAGAATCCAAGGATAAAGGCATATAGATCTGTGTGTACATATTTATAAAACAAAATTTAGAAGTTTCACAAAACAAGCTTTGCCTTTACTATGTGCAATCACTTCATTCTATTCTATATCATATTTTTGAAATGTTAGTCATGTTGATTTCAGGACCCACCGAGTGACAGTCTGCAGTCAAAAAAGCATTGATCTAGGACTCTGTTCAGTCTTTGTTCCAGGGCCTCACTTGAGAGCACTGTGGAACTAGATTTTAAGAGTGTTTATTTACTATTACAGCTTTACGACAGCAAGTGTATAATGAGAGGATTAGCTTGCATGTTGTTTTTCTGGGATTTGCATGTTTCACTCATCATTGTATTTCTAAAATTCCTACTGTGGCATGTAGCTGTGATTCATTCCTTTTTACTGCTGGTTGAAGGATCCTTACCTCTCTTAATTCCTCACCCATTGATGAATATACCAGTTGATTTATCCACTTCTATTGGTGGCTCCTTGGGTTGTTTGTGATTTTTGCTTTTATGAACAGTGCTGCTATGAACATGCTTACACATGTCTTCTGGTGCGTGTGTGTAAGAGTATCTTTAGGGCAGTGTTTCTTAACCACTTTTTCCATTATTGCCTCACTAAGTAGTCTTTTTAGACCCCTCACCCCCAACCCCCTGCCCAGTTGTTGTTCTAATGAAATTTTAATACCACAGATAGAATGTATATATCTTTATGTACTGAGTATATATCTATGCTTTATGCACAACTCACTCTCCTCAAAACTAATATTACCCCCATTGAAAATGCATGCTCTCGAGTGTGTGCATCTTGGAGCAGAATTACTGAGTTGTAAGATCTGTCAAGATTTAACTTTATAAGATATTGTTGAATTGTTTTCCAAAGTGGCTGTACCCACCTGCCATGTATAAAATTTCCACATTCTCTCTCATACATGTTGATATCTTACTTCTTAATTTTTCCCAATCAAGTGGGTATGAAATGGTATCTTGTGGTATAACTTGCATGTCTCTTATTAAGTATCTCTTCCCATGTGTATTGGCCACATATGTGTTCTTTAAAATGCCTGTTTATGGCTTTCACCTATTTTCCTATCGTCCGTTTATGTAGTTTTGATATATTAGTGCTGATCCATCTGTGTCTGTATGTGTATGTGTACATGTGTGTGTATATATAAACACACACATATACATATATGGTCTCAGTTTATAGCTTGTTTTTTCGCTTTTATAAAGTCCTTTTGACTAACAGAAGTTCTTAGTTTTAATATGGTTAAATGTAGCTGTGTTTTAATTCCTGTTTACTGTGTTTTTCATTATAAGGCCTCCCGATTTCAAAGTCAGAAAAAACATGTTAACTGTTTTCCTTTTTTTAAACTGCGCTGCCACTGATTCCACCATGTGTATTCATTTTTTCAGTGGATTTGTTTTATTGTGGCAAAATGTACATAACAAAATTTACCATTTTAACCATTTTTAAGTGTACAGTTCAGTAGTATTGAGTACATTCACAGTGCAACCCGTCACTACCCATTTTCAAAACGATTTCATCATCCCAGACAGAAACTCTGTACCTGTTAAACAGTATATCCCCATTTCCTCTATCCCACAGTCCCTGGTAGCCTCTGTTCTACTTACTGCTCTATGAATTTGCGTGTTCTACATCCTCATATAAGTGGAGTCATGCAATATTTGTCCTTTGTGTCTATTTTATTTCACTTAGCATGTTTCCAAGGTTGATCCACATTGTAGCATGTATCAGAATTTCATTCCTTTTAAGGTTGAATAATATTCTTTTGCATGTTTATACCACATGTTAATCCATTCACCAATTGATGGTTGTTTCCACTTTTTGGCTACTGTGAATAATCCTGGTATGAACATTGGTGTTACAGCATCTATTTGAGTCCTTGCTCTCAGTTCTTTTGTGTATATTCCTAGAAGTGGAATTTTTAGATCATATGGTAATTCTACATTTAACTTTTTGAGGAGTTATTTTCTTTTAAAAGTGTTAAATTTTGTTTTTGTCATTTAAGACTTTAATCCATCTGGAGTTGATTTTTGAGTATGGTATGAGATGTAGGAATCTGACTTTTTTTCCCCCATATGGGTGGCTATTTTTTCCCCAGTTTTAAATACTAAATAGTCCCTCCTTTCCACAGTTTAGGCTTTCTACTTACCAGTTTTTAACAGTCACAGTAGCCTGTTAAGTTAATATATTATATACAATTAATTAACCATCTAACCTTTTCTGTATTATTCAGATTGTTTTTAGGTTTAAATAATACTATTATGATCATTTTAGCTTTTTCTTTTACATTCTTTCAAGAAGATATAGTTTCTAAGACTTGGATTATTTGATGAAAGGTTATGAATAGTCATCTCTCTTATACATCACTAGGTTACCCTCCATAAAAGCAGAAAAAAAATTTACATTGTCATGAACATGTATGAGTGTCTGTTTCTATCAACCATCCCAGTACTGCACTCTATAATTTTTCTCTTTTTTTGAATTTAGTTCTAAAATAATAACCTCCTTTTTTTATTTGTTTGAATTCTTTTTTTTAATTAAGTAATAACATCATTGTATCTTTTTTTTCCCATTCTCATGCTATTTATGTGTCTCTAAATGTTTTGTTGGTTTTGCTGTATACATTAGAAGAGAATGAAATCAAATTTTGGTTGCCTTAAAGTCCATATCATGTTCTTCTTGGTGACTTGCTGCTCTGTCATTGGAAACAGATAAAATTTTAAATATAATCCCCTACCATGCTTATTTTCATGAAAGTTGTAAATAGAATTTTATCTTTAATGCACTGTCTCACACTTCAGATTTCTATGTAGTATGAATTAATTTCCAATAGTTACTGGGTGAGGATTTGGATCAAAACGACACTGGAATAAAAATATTAATCTTTGACTTCTCAAGTTGTTCTGAGTAGATTTTCCCCCCATCTTGGTAAGTTTCTTAGGATTAATTCTGGTTTTAAATTTTAAAATGTCATAACCTATTTTAGTGGCTATCATATGGATTCTTAGCTGTTAAATTATTGTTTTAGGTGAACCATTGAAACCAGACAACGTGGAATTTACCTTTACTAGACAATGTAGATTTACTCCCCCAAAGGATAAACCTTATTTTTCTGATTATGAAATACATGGCTAAAATACATCAGCTTAAGAAAATTCATTAATGCAGACACTTATAAAATAGTATTTACTGACACTTACTGAATGGTTTGGTTTCTGTTCCAACCTCTTTTCATGCTTTAAAATTCACTCTGATGTAACTCCTATGACATGTGTCTGCTATTATTATTAGTGACTCCATTTTATAGATCCAGAAACTTAGGCCTAGAGAATTTAAGAACTTGCTGAAGGTAATACAACTAATAAGTGACAGCCAAAATATTACTTATAATCCCACGTCTAGGAGATTATCAGTATAAAGAGCCTGGGGTATATATGTCCAGGCTTTTAAAATGTGTGTGTGTGTATGTGTATATGTACACACACACACAGGGTGAGGATAATTTATTATTTTTTTCTTTACAAATATGGAGTTCTACTATAGTCAGTAATTGTAACTCGCCACTAACTTAGTAGTGTATCTTCATCATCTTTCTTTGTCAATGCAAACTCATTTTTCCCCTCACATTTTAATGGCTGCAGAGTATTCCTTTTATTGGTATACCAAGCAGAAAAAATTTTCATGCCATTTTTGTGTTGTTGTAAATGCTTCAGTGAACATTATTTTACATATATTTTTGTATATTTGGCCAATTATTTCTTTAGGATAAATTGCTGTAAGCAGATTTGTAGGGTCAAAGTGTACATACATTTAAAATGTTGATAAGTATTGCCAAATAATCCTCTAAAAACTTAGTTCAAATTTACATTCTCACCAGCACCCTCTTACACCAGGGTCTCATCAACTTTGATTATTTTGATTGTAATTATATTCATGTCTTTATTTGATGTTTTCTTACTACTGGTGAACTTTAGCATATTTTCACATTTATTGTTAATAAGTGGTTCTTTAAAAATTTTTCTCATATATCCTACCCATTTTTCTATTCAACTATTTTTCTCTTACTGATTTATGAGACTTGTTATTAAGAAAATTTAAGATTATTATAAGTGTGTATTACCAGTATTTTTGTAGGTGATAATTTATTCAACTTTATGGTATCTTTTGTCATACTACTATATTTTCTTAATTTTTCATTATAATTTTATATACTGTATTATATTTAATAATATATCAGATTATATATAATATATATAGATTAATATTATAGATTAAATAATTTGTTTTCAAATAGCTGTCCTGGCAGCATTTATTAACTAATACCTTTTTTTCCCTACTTATTTGGGATAACACCTGTATCTTACACTAAATTTCCATATGGTAAGTGTGTCTATTTCTGGACTCCCTCTTCTGTTGATCTAGCCATCTAGACCAACATATACACTTTTTAATTTATTGGAGCCTTATAATGAAGTTTAAGATCTTTTAAGAAAAGCTTCCCCATATTCTTTTATTTCTAAGGTTATTTTGACTGTTTTTGTACTTTTATTCTTTTACATGCACTTTTGTGTGCTTTTATTTAAATTTTTACTAATATTTAACATGCATACTGAAAATGAACTTTATTTTACAACTAGTTTTTTTTTTTAATTATAAAAGCAACTAAAAAGTAATTCAAGGAAAAGTTTCTGGCCCCTTCCTCAGACATCCCAGTGCCATTCCTCAGGGGTAACCACTTTTTCAGAATTTTAAATCTGATGAGAAAAATGTAAAAAATTACCATCTTTTGATTAGATGCACTTTAGAGTCATTCAGTCAAGTTCTGAGAAGTAAAATACTTCAGGATTTTATTTGGATATAATGAATTAATAAATTAATTTAAGGAGGATTGACATCTTTACAGTGTTATCTTCTCCCATCCAGGAATTCTTTTTTTTTGTTTTGTGTGTGTGTGTTTTTTTAAGTCTTTTGTTCTGTCTTTCAATAAGATTTTCACATTATTCTATTTGTCTTGCATGTTTCTCATGAAGTTTATTGCTAAGCTAAAAAAAAAAGGGCATATACCAAGGCTAAATCATCTTTTTTGTAAGACCAGTGGCTTGGGGAGAGAGAGAGAGACAGGGAGGGAGAGAGATGGTATATGTGTGCACAAGTCCTGTTATAAACCAGAGGTTTTACCATTAGACTTTTATGCTGATTATTTATAGAGTAGCTAATTTTTTTCAAATGTATCTTTTATACTGTAAAGTGCTATTATAATACTTTAAAATACTATTATAATCACTGGGAATAATTTCCTCCCAGTTAGAATGCCAGTATTAGTCAGTATCCCTGCCTATGAGGAGGGCTAAGATATTGAGAAACTAAATGAAACCAAAGCTATGGATTAAGAAGGAACACATTTTCATTCTTATTAAGGGATCTCCTTTCTTTTAGACCTCATTTGCCCTTGTGCCCACAGATCATATTTATTGACTGAATGAATTCGGAGATGAAGAGATGAGTGAAAAATAAATTATTATAAACACAGATATCAGAATAAAGGAATGATTATGAGAAATGTTTCTTTCATATTCATTTTATTCACAATCTAATTGTTCTTTGGAGTTTTAATAAGTAGAACTTAAAGATGCACACATATATGCAGACTAGAGAAGTCAGAATAGTTTCGATCCGTAAAGCTTATGTTGACAAGAACATAACATCATTACTTTTATTTTTTATTTTATTTATTTCAAAAGGAGGCGTTTATTTGAAAATGCAGCACTGTGCTGACAATAAGAATCACAGAGAACTAACATATCAGGGAAACAATCAGGAGAAAAAATGGTAAGGAGATAGCCATCTATTATCAAAGTTTCCTTTGAGATTCTTCTTTCAGATCTGCAGGAAGATTTGAGAATCTTTAGGATATCTTTTACTAATGTAACCGAAAGTCCTTAAGTCTTAGTCATTAAATGCATCCAGATCAAATAGCTCAAAGCCCATGCATTTAAATTTGAGGATTCCAGCACACTTACTATAATTCTGAAGTGTCCCAGGCCACACCTCTGCTCCTATCTGCTCTTCCATAGCATCATTACTTTTAAAGGTAAATCAGCTTTTAATTGCTTTGTTTTTAACCACTTTTTTTTCTGGCTACTGAAGTGGAACTTGAATTAGGCTGTAGACTCCTCCTGCTGGGTAAAAAGCAGGAGAACAGAAAACCTAAACTTTGGACTTGAGCAAGTCACAGGTTGCAGTGCCCAAATTAGTATCTTTAAATCCTTGTATGTGTTCTCCACAGGGAGCTTTCCCAGCTCGCTTGAAGAAAGTGCTGATTGTGGGAGCACCCATATGGTTCCGAGTGCCCTATTCCATCATCAGCCTCCTCCTGAAGGACAAAGTCCGCGAGAGGGTAAGGCTGGCTAACTGTATTCTGTTGGGAGGATCTGTCTAAGATACATTCCCATCTCTACTGTTGAAACCTGCCAATGAATTTTCTACCTTCAAAAAACCTTCCTGGCTTTAGAGTACTTTCTGCTTCTGTTAGTATGTTCACTTACATCCTCTGTTTTATTCTTGACCGGCTCAGTACAGGCTGTCTTTCCTACAGTACTACAAGTTCCTTGAAGCCAGGACCTGGACATAGTTTTCTGTGGCACTTTACATGCAGATGGTACTGAAGGAAGGTGTCCCCTGGATAACTGAGGGATAGCTACTACTTCTAAAGTTTAGTCGTATGCTCTACAGGCCTTTAATATTTAGCCACTTCCAATATAATTCCATCTGTTGAACTGGTGTTTGAATTTCTTCAACTAGAAGTACCATTCAGTCCCTTTGATCACCAGGTTGGTTGAGGAGAATCTCTATCTCTTTCTACTTTTATCTATGTTGTCTAAAATTATCTTAATTCTCTTTTCATCCCCTGAGTATTCCAAGACTGAAAAGATCATGGTTGGAGTCATTCACTCATTCATTTCTCACTTTTGAACAAAAGGCCATATGAAAACATTGACATAATAGAGTAAGATAATAAAGTTGTTGCAAAATGTTGTCAGAGTTTTTTTTTTAAGTATGAGATTATGAAGTTATATGAATAATGACAATACAGATCTTTGTAGCTGAGGTGACTTGGAATGGAAGGGGAAACTACAGACGTTTGGTTCTGTGGAAGCTACTTAGGGACCTGGTGACCCAGGGTAGGAGAGTCTTTCTTAAGATAACTCTTTGCGAGGACACCTTAGGCAAGTTCTTACACTTGAATTATATACAAGTATAATTGCATGTGTAAACTCAAAATAAATTGAGCACCTTTGCAGGCCAGGCTGTGGGCCCTGGGAATTAAACGTTGTGTGAGATAGCCCTTACCCTCGAGGAGCTCATGACCCTGAAAGGAAACACAGACATGTGCAGAAGCCTGTGGCTCTGCAGGAGCACAGAGGAGAATACTACCCCTGCAGTTAGCCACGGCTTCACAGTGGAGGTGAGCTGCAAGCTGGTCCTTGAAAAGGCCACGGGGGAAAAGAGGGCATTCCAGGAAGAGGCAACAGCAACTGAGGCAAGCATTCCCATTCCACACAGATTCCAAAGAGAACCAGCTAGGCTAATTTGGTGCAGAATGGCTGTGTCCCAGCAGACAGCAGAACTAGGTATTAAGATTACTTCTCCAGTATGGATTATCCTGCCTCTGGGTGTCTGATCTTGTCTTGCTTTTATAGAAACTTATCTTTGAGAACATCCATACTGAACTGTGAGTAAAGCACAAGCCAGCAGGCTTAGAATTGGTTGCCTTAGTATAAGGCTGACAAAAATAACCACTTCCTGTGCATTCTTAGTAGTCAAAAAGGCAAATACCCACGTAAGATGGTACTGGAAAGCCTTGTTGATAGTGTAAAGCCTTCCTTCACTGTACCTTTATCTAAGGGCCCCTAATTCCAGGGATGAATTTGATATACATTCTGGGAAGTGACACCTTTTTCTGGGAGATTCATAGGACTTCAATCCCAAGCACGTGAAATGCAGTGTACTTCTTTTATAAGTATACCAGGTGTTCATGCAAATCTCATCTCATTCTGCAAAGCACATTTATTCTTACTCTTCACTATCTGTATGTGTGTGTTGTTCTCCCCCTCCCCGCACTGCCACTCACATGATTCCTTCTGGCCTTCCAGATTCAGATACTAAAGACATCTGAGGTCACCCAGCACCTGCCCAGGGAGTGCCTTCCAGAAAACCTGGGTGGGTACGTCAGAATTGACCTCGCCACTTGGAATTTCCAGTTCCTACCCCAGATGAACGGCCATCCAGATCCCTTCGATGAGATCATCCTGTTCTCCCTCCCTCCTGCCTTAGACTGGGACTCAGTGCATGTTCCGGGTCCCCACGCCATGACCATCCAAGAATTGATGGACTATGTCAGCACCAGGCAGAAGCGAGGGATATATGAGGAGTATGAGGACATTCGTCGTGAGAACCCTGTTGGCACCTTCCATTGTTCCATGTAAGTGGGAAAGATTTGGGCCAGTGATCACTTACCAAGATGCTTCTGGCACACATTGATGTGGCTCCTTCCACACCTTTCTTCCTAGTATTAAGGAACATCATTCTCACTTAAGTGATGGTTTCTCTCATCCAGAAAGAGGCACCTCTTGGTGCTTGTTGCTAAGAGGCTATGCTCTGAAATTTCTGAATTTTTTGGTACTAGTAGAGGAACCCTGTAATAATGGATACATTTTTTAAGAATATTTTCCTGAAATATAAATGTTTTTAGGAAAAAACAAAAATGTAAGCTGTCTTTTCTCGTCCTCAGTGTGATCTCTGATCCTTTCATTTGGGCAGTTTCTCCCTAGGGCATTTATAGTATTACATTACTTCCTGAGGAGGGGTGCTGGTGCATTTAAAATAATCCACAGTCAGTCAGAGAGAAGAGTTGCCCCTTCGGAATTTAACCTTGTGGAACTTTCCTTCTACCTAAATTCTACCACAAAACCCCCTGGTTAGTCTATAACTGGTTTATAACTACTTGATAACTATTGTTGGCAATAGAGTATGAATCATTTTTCTTACTGCTGCTCTCATTTATCTTACCATGTTTTCATTGGCTGCAGCAGAAATTTCTTTCTCTCCAAATTTTAAGCTCTGTTGAAAATTAAGGAAGCCCTCCCCAGTGGGTACCCAGGCTCAAGTTCCAGCTTAGCCAAAAATCCCTTCTATAACTTACCCACGTTATTTCCTTTCTTTACACCTCATGGTGTGATAAATGATGTTAGACTTACTGATATCCACTTACTTTGGTAGCTTAGCTATCTCAGGAATCCGTGATTATGTGAGTACCTCTTTCCCCTTGTAATTCCTGTCCAGCTTAGTCAGTGTGCTATAAAGAAGATATGCAGGGAGCGAGCCCTTCAGGAAAAAGAAAGAGGGGAAATAATGAGTTAGGAAACAAATAAGCAAAGTAAGAGAGAAGAAGCAATTGAGAAAAAAGTCAGTAAGCTGAAGAAGAATGTAAAGGGAAATAAGAGAAGAGAAAGAGAAAGCAGAGCATTTCATGAGGGGAGGGTATTTTTTTCTCCCACACAGCTCTGTTTCTTTCCTGTGGCAAGAGCTCAGGACCCCTCTATGTATCCAATCTTTTTCTCAGCCAGAGAAGAGGGGGATTCCTGACCTTGCTCTCTTACAGCAGGTTGCATTAGAACTACCTACACAGAACAAACTTAGGTTTCCCTTGGAATTCTAGATTATGAAGTAGATATCAGAGTATTCACTGTTGTGCACAATGCCCATGGACCAAGAGACTTTCTTTTCCTTTTTTTGTCCCCTATGCCATTTTTTCTAAAGACTTTTTAAAAATTTAACTTCGTATTATAAGATAATTATAGATTCATATGTATTCATAAGAAGTAGTACAGAGAGAGACCATGTGTACTCTTTCTACAGTTTTCGCATGGTAACATCTTTAAAAGTATATATAATATCACAACCAGGATATTGATATTGATACAATTCACCAATCTTAATTTAGATTTCCCCAGTTTTAGTTTGTGTATGTATTTAGTTCTTTGCGATTTTTATCACTCACGTAGTTTTTTGTGTATATCACCACAGTTAAGATACAGAATTCCATAACCACATACCTCCATCCCACTGCTCCCCGTCCCTAACCCCTAAAACCACTAATCAATTCTCCATTACTATAATTTTGCCAATTCAGGAATGTTATTATATAAATGGAATCATACTATATGTAACTTTTTTTCACTCAGTGTAATTCTCTTTGCAATTCACCCAAGTTGTTATGTGTGTCAAGTTCATTCCTTTTTGTTGCTGAGTAATATTCCATTCTGTGGATGTACCACAGTTTGCTTAACTGTATACCTGTTGAAGGACATCTGGGTTGTTTCCAGCTTCTGGCTGTAACAAGTAAAGCTGTTACGAACATTTATGTCTAGGTTTTGTGTAAACGTAAGTTTCTATTTCTCTGGGATAAATATCTAAGAGTGGGATTGCTAAGTCATATGGCAACTATATATTTAGTTTTATGAAAAACTGCCCAGCTGTTTTCCAGAGTGGCTGTACCATTCTACATTCCCCCAGCAATGTATGAGTGATCCATTTTCTTTGCACCCTCACCAGCATTCAATGTTGCCACTATTTTTTATTTTAGCTGTTCTGATAGGTGTGTAATGAGATCCCTAAGTTAAAATTAAAATTGTGGTTTTAATTTACATTTCCCTAATGGCTAATGATATTGGGCATCTTTTCATGTGCTTGTCTACCATCTGTGTATCCTCTTTGTAAAATGTGTTTTGCCCATTTTCTATTTGGATTTTTTTTTTTTGACTGTTGAGATTTGAGAGTTCTTTATATTCTAGATACTGGTTCTTTCTTAGATGCATGGTTTGCAAATATTTTCTTCCAATCTGTAGCTTTTCCTTTCCTCCTCTTCTGGGTCTCTTGTGAACCACTTTATTTTGATGAAGTTTCTTTAGTCAATTTTTCCTTTTATGAGTCATGCTTTTGTTGTCAAGTCTAAAAACACATTGCCTAGCCCTAGAATCCATAGATTTCCTTTCTTTTTTTACTGTAAGTATTATAGTTTTATGTTTTACATTTAATTTAAAACTGTGATCCATTTTGAATTAATTTTTATATAAGACACTTAGGTTGATGTTCGTTTTTTTGGCCTGTTGATATCCAATTGCTCCAGCACTCTGGGTCTTGAGTATTCCTTCCTCTATTTAATTGTTCTTGGAACTTTCTAAAGTATGAGCTGGGCTAGATTGTGTGGGAAGAGAGAATTTTTTAAAATATGAAAAAGTACAGAGTATATAACATGACAGACAACTATTTCCTATCACCAGAATTGATATTGACAGTTTTTAATATTTTGTTGTATTTGCTTCTTCTCTTTTATTATATAAAAGAAAGAATTCACTGTAAAGTTGAAATCCCTTCTAATCCTCGCCATCAGTTCTTCTCACTACCCAGAAGCAGCCACTAGTATGAATGTGATATGTTCCCATCCAGGCCATTTTGTTTGTACTATTACATACACATTCATGGCTATGAACAATATATAGAATATTATTTTATATGGGTAGTCTTTGTAGTATCTTTTTGCTTTTAATCAACACATACGCAAATTATTTTTTCAAAACCAGATAGTACAAGGAAAAGGCAGTGACAAACAGCAATCTCCTGCCTTACCCTCCTTTCTACTCCCGTAGTCATACATTTTCAACTCTTGTAGCTGTTTTTTGTTTTTTTCTTTATTTTTGCTCATTTCATTTCCTTCAGGTCTCCAGGAAACCTGGAGAAGAACCGCTATGGGGACGTACCCTGCCTGGACCAAACTAGAGTGAAGCTGACTAAACGAAGTGGCCACACTCAGGTAGGAAGATCAGTGCCACCTTCTCAGAAGCACTGAGGGAAATTTAAGCCTCTTCCAAAGTGAAGCTTAATTATACTGTAGTACAAAGAACATGGACTCTAAGCCAGAGCGAGAAGGTTTGAGTTCTAATTTTGCTACATACTAGTCTGTTACCATAGGCAGGTCCCTATAGTCCCATCTTACAGTAGTGCTAAATGGAGAGTAAATGAAATTTATGTACATGCTGATAGCACAAGGTTGGTGTATTGTAGGTGCTTGATAACTGTTCAGTTATTTCTCCTTTTAATTCTTAGTTATAAAATTAGTCATATCATCCACCATATTGGTGAGTATATATACATCATTACAGGGCAACTCTGATTATAAGTATCCTCTGGTTTTTCTATTTAGAGGATCTGACAAAAGTTTTAGACAACTAGTATGTACCTAAATATCCAGGATAGAAACGAATTGGTCAAATGCCTATGTTATTTAATATATTAATTTGATCATATCTCTACATGTCAAATCACATTATATAATAATTAGTAGAGATATTAAGTGAAAATGTTCTTTAGACTCTTCACATGCCCCTTTTATGTTCGTGTCTTTGTCCTTATTTGAGCTACTTTTTGAGTAAATCTAACAGTTTTCCAGAACACATCGTTTTTTCTTTTTGAAGTGCATGATATTGTCACTGAAAAGTTTATCCTAAATCAGAAAAATCTATTAGTATAACATTAGCACAGTTTTTTCTTTTCATTCATCCTGTATCTCATGCATCCTCTATAGTCTCGTGCATCCTCTATAGCATAATAGTTGACATACTCCTTTTTAAAGTCTTCTTTAATATAACTTGTTTACAGCAACAACCAACATTTAGAATTTTGAGGTCAACAACTAAATAGTTGTTACATTTCTTCTTTTTCTTTCTGATACAGCAGTTCTGTCTGGTATCCTCTGTACACATCAGAAAAACAGCATTGAGGTTGATGTTCACAGTAGAGGAATTTAAATAGTTCCCTTTAACATGACACACAGTACAGGGACTTGTTACAGCCCCCCTCTTTTTTTCTGGAAGATCATTCTTGGGAAAATCATTGTCATATTTTTGGCATATGTGGTACATGAGTTAGGACCCTAGGATCATAGTTTTAATCTCTTTTGACCCTGCCATTTCAAGCACATAAACTGAATTCATAGCCCTGTCTAGGATCCTTAAAGAGGGTTTTCCTATAGGAGCATTAGCTAAGAGTCTGGCCAACTGAGGGCAAATTCATCAGTATTATTGAGATCATCTTAGCATATGCTCTGAAGGAGTGGAGAATGATAGGCTGGGGCTCTGGAGTCAGAGATACCTGTTTGGATCTGTCTTGCTGACTGCTCTGTCTCCAGGACCTAGAACAGTGCCTGACATGTGTCAGACATTCAGTAAATTATTTGTGAGTGAACGAGTGAAACCTAGTGTACCAGGAGACTATTCTCGTCATCCTGTAATTAATCTGAAGATCATTGCTTAAGTTATAATTCTTTTCATTGCTGCAAACATTGGCAGAGGCTTTATTTTTACAGTAAGTGGAGGATTCAGGTTTACTAGTGAATTGTTCAACAGAGTTCTCCTGGAATTATAAAGCTGTTAGTCCAGTTTCTGTTGAACCTGGCCCTAGTGTGCTTGCTTTGGTTCTCCTTGCTATTTCAGTTTGCCCCAAGTCTATACTTTATTTCTGAGATCATTTTCAGTTTTAATATCTAATGAGTTTTCTGAAATTGGTGATTTTAATGCCCAGTGTTCTCACAGATAAGAATGCTGAAAGCTGGAATCCTTAGTTATAAAGAAATAAGACTCCTTTAAAGAGGTAACATTTCTTTTCAAAGCATGAAGGTAGCTCCAAGAGTAACAGCTTATACATTACGTATACAATAGTGTTGATTGGCATGTACCAGGTAAAGCCTTTGTACTTTTCTATGCCGTCTTGCCTCGGTCTGCAGGATATGCTACTGGAATGTACCAGGCTGAACAGAGAATGGACTTTGGCTTACTATGGGTGGGCCCTGGATTGAGAAATCTGTTTGGGAGTGAATGAGGCTTTTACCTTGCTGGATCTGCTCCAGATGGTCCATTAGCTCAGTGAAGGTGTCCAAGTCAGTGTAGAACACTAGTAGTATGAGGTCAATACCAGCTGCTGTGGGAGGAGAGAACAGCAGGAAACTCTTGACTAAATCATTAGCGGGAAGATAAGTTGGTAGACTGACTAACTAATGGACATATATCCAAGTAACATGGATTTGACCATGAGATGGAGATGTCTTTTGAGGGTGGCTGTGGGGTAGTGACAGTTCAGACTGTCCTCCAAGTGATGGAACCCAGTGGAGAAAGGGTTGGCCGGTTGGGGAGTCATTCTGACCTCTCTAGAGTAGAGTGGGGTATGAATTTTCCCTAGTTTGCCATTAGACTTCTTTCTTTTGTCCTCCTATACCTCTCCGCACCCTCTCGTATCCATCCTAGCTGCTAGGGACTCTCAACTAGTTATACCATGACTTAAGACTGGAGCTGTGCCCATCTTTCTTTTTTTATCAGCTTGGATTAGAGGATGTTGGCAGAGATCTTGTGAGAAGGTATAATAAAAATAACAAAATAATAATAAAAATAATAAAAAATTAAATCCTACTTAATTTCTCTGATGGCTAATGATGTTGAAGTAGATAAGACTGAGACATTGGCAGAAGAGAGTGAGTCGGAAGCTATTCATTGAGACTCTGAATTTGTGTGGCTTTTGCTTGGTGTTAACTCAGTTAGTAATAGAGCCTGGGTGTTTGGCCCCTCTGTTGATGGTCCTAGATAGGAGGTAGAGCTTTCTTCCTTCTCCAGTCACACTTCGCCTTGTGTGTTTGTGGCAGCAGGGACAGGATGTTCCTGCTCAGGTTGCCTGGCTTGTCTCCCATTAGGTTTTGGTTCTGAGCTGCAAGTCCTAATAGACTCCTTTTAAGTGTACAAGTCAGTGGTTTTTTAACAGATCTGTAGAGTTGTGCAGCTGTCACTGCAGTCACCTGAAAAAGAAACTCCCCTTGGTGGTCACTCTCCATTTCCCCCAAACCCACCTACGTTTTGCCTGATTTTTTTTTTTCACCTGTTGTGTACATTTCACATAGATATAATCATACAGTATATAGCCTTTGTGTCTGGTTTCTTTCACTTAGCGTGTTTTAAGGTTCATCCACATTTTAGCATGTATCAGCATTTCACTCCTTTTTATTGCTAAATAATATTCAATCGTACGAATATACAGCACATTTTATTTACCCATTCATTAGTTGATAAACATTTGAGTGGTTTCCAATTTTTGGCTATAATGAATAATGCTGCTATGAATATTTGTGAATAAGTTTTTCTATAAATCTATGTTTTCATTTCCCTCAGAAGTGGAATTTCTGGATCATATGGTAGCTCTGTGTTAAACCTTTTGAGGAAATGTCAGGCTGTTTTCCAAAGTGACTGCACCATATTACATTACCACTAGCAGTGTATGAGGGTTCCAATTTCTCCACATCTTTTCCAGTATTTGTTACTATCTATCTTTTACCTGTAGCCATCCTAGCGGGTGTGAAGTGGTATCGTGTTGTGGTTTTGATTTGCATTTCCCTGATTAATGATGTTGGGCAGCTTTTCAAGTGCTTATTGGCCATTTGTGTATCTTTGTGTGTGTGTGTGTTATTTGTTTTTTCCATTTGTATATCTTTTTTGGAGAAATGGTTATTCTGATTCTTTGCCCATTTTAAAACTGGGTTGTCTTTCTACTGTTTATTAGTCAGGGTTCTTTATATAGTCTAGATACAAGTCCCTTATCAAGTGCGTGCATCCTGTGGGTTTTTTTTCACTTTCTTGATGGTGTCCTTTGAAGTACAAAAGTTTTCAATTTTAATCTAGTTGAATTTATCTGTTTTTTATTTTGTTGTTTGTGCTTTGGTCATATCTATGGAGACTTTGCCTAATCCAAAGATTTAATCCTATATTTTCTTCTAAGAGTTTTATAGTGTAGCTCTTACATTAGATCTGTGATGCATTTTGAGTTGGTTTTTACGTATGGTGTGAGGAAGGGGCCAGCTTGACTTTTCTGCATGTGGATATACAGTCGTCCCAGCAACATTGCAGAAGTGAGATTTTGAATTGGCCCTTTCAGGTCTCGTTTTCTTCTTGACAAGATAATATCCACACCTTGGGTTTTATTTACCTAGTACATCATTTTCCTACCCAAATGCTGTATTCACACAGCTGCAGTAATATTTTCTTTTTATCATTAGACAGATTACATCAATGCCAGTTTCATGGATGGCTACAAGCAAAAGAATGCTTACATTGGTACACAAGGTAAGTTAGTCTGCCTGTCACAAATTGGTTTTATATCATCTACCTGTGACTGTTTGCATCAGATGACAGCATAATTTTTAAAGGAAATGGTAACTTGAAGTGATGTTGTGGCCACTAGATTCTGGCCTTTCATAAAGATTGAGGGTTATTGAGGAAGGCAGAGAGAGGTGCAGTTTCTGTACCAGATGTGCCTAGAAGCTCACTGCATAGAGATAAACTAGAGATTTGAACACACAACTACAGATTTTTGGACTATGTCTTAATGTTGCCAATCCACGGGAATAGGACATCAGAATTCACTGGCCAGTGAGATGCTCTTCATGTCCAGTAGGAGTCCAGGAATGGCAGTGGGACTTCCCAGAGATTGAGTCCAATCTATGAATGGGTATTGCTGTCTTAAGAGGTTTGTGTGTTTGTTTTTAATGTAGGTACTAGGGATTAAACCCAGGACCTTGTGCATGGTAGGCATGCGCTCTACTATTGAGCTATACCCACCAGTCTTAAGAGGCTTTTGCTGGTCCTTACACCATCACAGAGCAGGCCAGCAGTCTCTGACATGAATAGTCTTTGCTAAGACAGTGAAGTACTGGGCTCTAGGATTTCAGATGGAATTTGTGGGCCCCAGTACTACTCCTAACCTGTCCTCTGCCATCTCAAGAATACCAGGTTGCTTTCAAAAAGCGTGGGAAGAAATTCCAACATAGGATGATACAACAGCCCATCATACAAGCTTAAGGCTCTTTGACCGTTGTGGAGAATTGCCAACAAGAGATCTGGCAGATACCTCCTCAACCAAGTGATCAAACTTAGTATCACCAGTAATGGACAAAGAGATACTATGTGCTTCTTGTGACACATACAGTGAGAACTGCAAACATTACGTATGTTGTATGTTGCCAGTTTTTAAGTCTGAGTCTAATGAGAAACAAACCAGACAAATTCAGATTGTGGGACATACTAGTGAACTGGCTTAGACTCTTCAAAGTGAATGCCTTTGAAAACAAAAACCAAAAAACAGGGCAGGGAACTGTTCTAGATTAAAGGAGACTAAAGAGACATTGATAACCAAAGGCAATGTATCATCCATAATTGGAAACTCAATTTGGAGAAGAAAACTGTTAAGGACAACCTATTGGGACAATTGGAGACAGGGTATGAGATAATGCTATTGGTTTAACTGCTTCATTGTGATAATGTTGGGAGAGATGTTCTTTTTCTTCTAAATACTATTCAAGTATTTAGGAGTAAAATATCAAAATGTACGAAACTTTTAAATAGTTCAGTAAAAAAGAAAATATATGTTAGAGAGAGAGAGAGACACAAACGTTGCAAAATGATAGCTAAAAATGATAGCTTTTGAGCTAAAGAACGTATGAGTACATTGTGCTGTTTTTTCCAACTTTCTGTTGGTTTCAAATTTTTCAAAATGGAAGTTAAGGGAGAAGAAAAGGGAAAGGGGCCTTCAGATTTTTGGTACATTGTTAATTGGTCTGATGGTCACAGGTTTGTTTTTTATTTAAAAAAGTTTGGGGGGTGGATATTTAGGTTTGTTTGTTTGTTTGTTTGTTTGTTTTAATGGAGGTACTGGGTATTGAACCCAGGACCTTGTGCATGCTAATAAGCATTCACTCTACCATTGAGTTGAGCTATGTCCTCCCCCACTATTTTTCTCCTATAGCAGGGACCACTCCCTCCAGAAACAGTCCTTTTACTACCCTAAGAAGAAATAAGAGAACTATCAGGAAAGCTGTAGAATATGTCGTTTGCCTGGGAGTAGTTTTTGTTGAGGAGGATGGCCTCCACACGAATGGGCTTATGGAGGGTGAGGACTGGCTCTGGAGAGTCTCAGAATGCTCCTTTCTCCAGGTTCAGAAGGTGAGGGCACACTGCTCATAGTTGCTGATTATGCAGGGATAGGCTGGCTCAGAAAGCCCTGTCCAGGAAAAGACACTCGTCCAGGATTATAAGGGATAGGATTTTTTTTTTTCTTCTTCTTCTCCCCTGCCCAACCCCTGAGATAGGATTTCTTGAGTTAAGCACTGTTCTACCTTTTGAAGGTATCAGCACTCTGTTAAGACTGGAAAATGGGATCCTGAGATGTTGAGAAGGCTGGTTTAATTTACCTGGTTAACCTTCTTGGCTAGATTCAGTATTCTGATTTTTATTCATATTTCTAATAATAGTATCTGTCATTTATTGAAAGTATCTATTATATATCAAGTACATAATCACCATCTAATTAGTATAGAGATTCTGCAAGGAAGGTTTATTAATCTATAAACAAACTGAAGCCCAAAGCGGTTAGGTAACCTTGGATCACGCAGTTACTAAGTGGCAGAGCCAGGATTTGAATGCATGTCTGTTTGGTTCAGAAGCCCTTACAAGCCAGGTTAGTGGATTGTTTCACCCATGTCAGCATAAACCATTGACTTTATTTCTTCAGAGAAGTCCACTGTTACAGAGTCTAATCTAATAAAGTAAAATGACTGGTGTAAGACCATAGACATTAGATGGTTAAGCTATTTTGATCCAGCTGTGCCAGCAAGAGCTGACAGGAGAGCCCTGCAAGGAGTGTGGTGTTCAGAGAAAGCTTTAAGGAAGAGGCCGCACTTGAAAATGGGTATAGTGGTGGTCATTTTGAAATGTATAGACATGAATCACTTGTGCACCAGGAACTAACATAGTCTTGTGAGTCAGTTATACTTCAAAAACAAACGTACAGAGAAAGAGATCAGATTTGTGTTTTCCAGAGGTAGGGGCTGGGGAGAGGGGGGATTGGATGAAGGTGGTCAAAAGTTACAAATTTCCAGTTATAAGATGAGTAAGTACTAGAGATGTTATGTGCAACTTGATAAATGTAGTTAACACTGCTGTATGTTATACATGAGAGTCCTAAGAGTTCTCAACACAAGGAAAAATGTTTTTTCTTTTTTCTTTTGTCTGTGTATGAGATGATATATGTTAACTAAACTTATTGTGGAAATCATTTCATGATGTACATAAGTTAAATCATTATGCTGTACACCTTAAACTTATATAGTGCTGTATGCCAGTTATGTCTCAATAAAGCTGGAAGGGAAGAAACAAGAAAATGGGCAGAAAGTCAATGGTAGTAGAGGTGAGAGACATAGCATGAACAAAGGATTAGAGGCAGAAGTGACCCTGTGTGTCTGTACTGTGGCAAAGCAATTTTTTAGAAAGATTAAACTGGCAGGAGTATCCAGAATAGACTGGAAGAGAAATTCCTATTCAGAAAAGTAAACCAAGATGGTTTTACAGTAACTCAGACAAAAGGTGATGTGGTCCCTGTGGTAGTGAAATTAGGCAGGGAGACCAGGATGGGGCAAATGGATAAAAATCAAAAACATTTCAAAGGCAAAAAAAAAAAATCTAGGACTTGGTGACTGCTTCTGGGAGATGAAAGAAATGGATGTCAGAGTTGATGCCAACTTTTCAAGATTGAGTGATTTAAGAATGCCAGAGCTGTTAACAGAGTTGGGAAAGTGGAGAGATAAAGGTGATTTTGAAGGAAGAGACTGACTTGCAAACATGTGGTGTCTGAGGAGATACTGGGATGTGGAAGGGGAATGGTTTAGAAGGGAACTGGTGATTGTAAGGCTTAGGTGAGAGGAAAACAGCTAGGGACATGTGCACAGGTCACACTGTCAGTCTGGATGTGGTAATTGAACCCTGATGACACGGCTCTGAGAAGATGTGTAACACTGCTTCTCAAACTGTATTGTACCTACAACTTTACCTGGGATCTTGCTAAAATGCAGATTGTGCATTTCTAATACTCTCCCATACAGTGCTATTGCTGGTGGTCCAAGGACCACCCTGAGTAGCAGGGATGTAGTCAGAAGAGCAGGGAGCCAGCATATGTGCTTTGGAGTTAGGGTTAGGGTTAGGTTAGGGTTAGCTGGGCAAAAAAGCAGAAGAGCCTAGGAAGGAAAGAAGAGCTTCCCAAGGTCAAGTTCTTTGTCTTCTTTCATTCTAGGCCCTTTGGAGAATACTTACCGTGATTTCTGGCTCATGGTTTGGGAGCAAAAAGTCTTGGTGATTGTCATGACCACCCGGTAAGTTTGTCTCTTTTCTACCCACTGCCCTCTGCGTCCACCCTGTCCCCAAGCATGGGTGATACTGGAGTGTAATTTAGCTCTTAGAAACAGTGAGGATTAGGAAAGCCATGGCAAAGAGTTTGAGCTGTCTTAGCTGACCCAGAGTTAACAAGCCAGGTATGGTGGAGAGTGAGAACTCTGACTTGTCAGAGCTTTAATCCATGGCTCTGGTGACCTTGTGCCAGTTACAGGCTATTCTGAGGTCCTTCCTGGCTTTAACTGCTAAATGAAGCACTGGGAAACATCAGGCAATTCACTTTTAGTCTGCTCCCTACTTCCAAAGATCAGCCGTCTCCCTGGCTCCTGAATTATTAGTTCACCTTTGTTCTCCCTTTCCCTGCTACTTTTGACTATTTTTCTTCTTGTTCATATTCCCACCTATAGGAGAACTTGCCAGAAAGAGAAGAGAAACACAATAGGTCAAGCAGGAAGGAAGCTCTTGATGAAAGGAATACTTTTGAAATTTTGGTTTACATATCTGCCAAAACTTCAGGAATTATTATTTCACTAGTATCATTATCACTATGATTAATAACATATTTCAGATGAGGAGAAAAAAATTAATGAGAATGTTTGCTCAGATCCTTTCCTCATGGCACTGTTATAAGCCACCTTCGACTTGGAGGGGAGGTGGTGGAAGAGGTCCCACCTGGGAGAACTTTGCAGCCACTGAAGAGCAGTGAGGTAGCCTTCAGGCCTGTACACAGCCCTCCTGCTGGCATCCTGGGAGCTGTGCCTTTCCCACTCCTCGGTCAGCCAGGACCTCTCGCTAGGGAAGAGAATGAACAGTAACTGAAACATGGGACGGAGAGTTTGATCCGGCCCATCATATTTTCTCTACTGTCTTTCCTTGTCCACCCAGTATTTATCCCAGGTATGTGAGGATTACCAAGAGGTATCAGGAAAGGGACCAAACGGACATAGCTGGTGCTCAGTAAATGTCTGCTAAATGAGTATGCGCAGAAACTTTAGCTCTTATTACATCTGTTTAGAATGAAGGTTTCCTTTTTCTGCCAAGAAGTAAGGGTGTAAATTAGAAGCAATGCGAGATGGCATTTCTGCCCAGGGGTGCAGCAGGTCCCGGGGAGAGCAGGGCTAGTGCTGTGGAGAGGAAGGGTGGAAGGCTTATCTTTCTCTGTGTGTCTTCAGCTTTGAGGAAGGCGGCAGGAGGAAGTGTGGCCAGTACTGGCCTTTAGAAAAAGACTCTCGGATCCGATTTGGCTTCCTCACGGTGACCAATCTAGGCGTGGAGAATATGAACCATTATAAGAAAACAACGCTAGAAATTCACAACACGGAGGTAAATTTTTTTCTCTCACTTTTTTGAACCTTTACTGTAAAGAAAATCCCCAAAGAGACTAGGCAGGATTCCAGGGAGCTTATAAGTTACTTCCGTTCTTCTGGAAACAGGATCAGGATATTGAGCTCAGAGCCAAAACAGCCATATTGTCTTGACACAACAGTGGCGTTACTTAGGAATAAAACTTTTTACAACATAAGAAATCTGGATCGTACAGTATTGGAATTCGGCCCTCTCCAGACATTTAACCTTTCTTTTGAGTTTGTATAGAAGCAATTGTGGAGAAAGTTGAGCGTGATAGGCAGGAACCTTGATGGTAAGGATACGAGGGGGCTGAGAATCTGAAAAAGCCAGAGGTAGTCAGGGGCAAGCAGAAAATACCTCATTAACGTTTGCTTCTTTTTTCATCCAAGGAACGGCAGAAACGCCAGGTGACCCACTTTCAGTTCCTGAGCTGGCCAGACTATGGTGTCCCTTCCTCGGCAGCTTCCCTCATTGATTTCTTGAGAGCAGTCAGGAACCAGCAGAGGCTGGCCGTCAGCAGCATGGGCACACGCTCCAAAGGGCAGTGCCCTGAGCCACCCATCGTGGTCCATTGCAGTGCAGGCATTGGCAGGACAGGTAATGCACCTGATGGAGCTCTCAGAGCATCCAGAGGCAGCAAGGGTGGGGGAGAAATAACAAAGCTCTCAGTTGCCAGAATGTGAATATTTGATCCATTGTCGGTGAATTGCCATGAAAAATTCCTCTTCAATGTCCTCTTGGTATACTTAGTACTAGCTATGCTGGCCAGAATATACACTTCACAAGCCAGGTCCTCTAGGTGTTGATGCTTTATACATCCGATATCAGCATGATTATCTTCTGATCCCAAACAGCCACCTGCATGTTCCAGAGCGCTCAGCCGGGCTGCCGCTTTCTTCCCATCCCCCCCGGGAAGATTCCTACCCAATGCCACGCTCTCCATTCTGGGACCAGTTAGCAGCTTTTGCCTTAAGGGGATGTACATTGCACAGGCTGTTAGCCTTTCTAGTTCAGAAGTCCCTTTGGGAGAAAGTCAAGAATAGGTTTGTGTTAGGTCTCTGTGGAGAAGTTGTAGAACCTCTGAAAATTAGGGCCCAGGTATGGGAGTGCTGTCGTGCTGGCTGTCTGGGATGAAGCAGGAATTTCCTCTGTCACCCTCCCACCTATTTACCCTGTTACCCCCATATATATCCTGAGAGACAAGAGGCCTTCCCATTTCTCTGGCCTTCAGCACTCCCTTGACCCCCTCCTTGAGTACTTTCAGGACTAAGGCCAGCTGGCCTCCTGCCATGAGGCACCCTGTTACTGAATTCATTCATCCAATTCCGCCTGGGTTGTTTGGTAGAAGGAGGGAAAGTGGAGAGGGAAACCAAGTGTGACCTCTTCCTTCCTTCTTTCAGGTACCTTCTGCTCACTGGACATCTGCCTGGCGCAGCTGGAGGAGCTTGGCACCCTTAATGTGTTCCAGACGGTGTCCCGCATGAGGACCCAGAGGGCCTTCAGCATCCAGACCCCTGAGCAGTACTATTTTTGCTACAAGGCAATCCTGGAGTTCGCAGAGAGGGAGGGCATGGTGCCTTCCAGCCACAATCTCCTGGCCATGGAGGGTCAGTAACTGTCCCACGAGCCTCCTATCTGCTGGTCAGCCTTCCTTAAACTACCCTGGACACTGCTGAGCCTGTAGGTTGCCATCAGTTACGCTGAAGCCATGGACCAACCTCTTTCTGTGTCTCCCGGCGCACACGTGCACGCAAGGCAGCCTTTCCCTTTGGCTAGACAGATGTGGTAAAACTGCCACTAGAAAGGGCCGGCAGCAATGCGTTGTTAATTCCTAGCACCTGCTATCGAACTGTGCCTTATTAAAACCAAATTGTGGCTGTCGATTTTTGCCAGGGGCCCTGAGGTAAGTGGGGAAGGAACCTCCCTGCCCCCCTTTCCCAATGCCATTCTCCTTCCCCGAGGTCTCTTTCCATTCCTTCCCTTTGCTAGGATTTGATGGGGAGGTTTGGTGAGCATCCACCTCCTTCCCAGAGAGCTTGACCAAGTTACATATTCTAGAGAACGTCCCGAGTGCCAAGCACGTTTATACCTAGGGCGTGTATTCCAGTCTTTTTTGTCATTCTGTGTGTGTGCGTGTGTGTATGTGCACTTATGTGTATGAGTCCATATGTACGTGTGTATATAATATATACTGTATGTGATAATATGGTCATATTCTATAAATACATATACACAGAAACACTCCTTTGTAGAAGTTCCTGGGGCTCCGTGTTGCAGTTCAAGACTCCTTGCTTCTTGGACCCTGCTGTTATTCCTGGACTAGCCAGGGCTGGGGATCATGTCTCCTGTTGTCAGACTGCAGAGTGGTGGAGGAAGACACACACCTCCACTCTCCGTGCTCCTGCCACAGGCCCTCATCCTTGTGTAATGACTCCTCTCCAGGATGCTGCCTGTTGGAGCCAAGAATACTGGTTTGTGGTGACACTGGTTTAATTCAGCATGGATTGCCCTTTTCTATTGATTTTTCTGTTTACTTTGCCAATTTTGGGAATAGACCTTCACTGTGATTCTAGACCCTCCCTCTCCTCTCCCTATTTCTTGGGGATTGGGATCTGGGCAGAGATGAAGTCACTGAGCATCCAGAGCCAAAAGCAATTGGTACGAAATCTTAGAAGGAAAGAGGGGGAGCCCAGATGTGACAGAGCAGAAACTACATACTAGGAGAATCCCTCCCTGGGAGAATGAAGTGGGCCCCTTTTTCTTTTGTTAGAAGGTTCCTTTTCATATGCAGCTTGGCCCTGTCCACTCAGATGCCTGTCTCTTCCTTGCCTACTAGCATGCCAGACCCTGGAGCTCAAGCTGGGTGGGTTCTGTGTCAATAAAAAAATTAAGCCCTGTCTGGGTGAGGCAGTCCCCTGCAGTCCCTCCCTATTCATCCAGCCTGTCCCTGTCTGCTCCTGGCCTACCCAGCCTGATGTGCCAGGGATGGAATTGAGAGTTCCCAGCATTCCACATTCCCAAGAAAATCCCGGGGACCCTTAAAACTTCTCTCCCCATCACAGATGAGGTTGGCAGCTGATCAGACCTCAATAATTTTATACTGTAATAAGCTCTTTGAACGTATATATTCTTACTTTTACAATCTTTTCATTTTGTATTTAACTTCAATGGACTGAGTCAGAATCAGAAAATAATTGTAATGTTCATATTCAATATCTTACAGCGATACAGTTTTGTATTTACATATAAATATACCAACATGATCAAACCCTTTTAGCTTCATCAATTTAGTAGCAGTCTTGGGCTGGGAAGGTGAAGAGGGGGTCCAGGAGCCGGTCTGGGAGGGATGGGAGGCAGGGAGGATCCCAAAGCCTCAGAGCCTTTCGGTTCTGAGAGCCGCCCACCTTGTCCGAGGCCATGGCCCAGCTCTGGGCAGACAAAGGGAACCAGCACCAGCTGAGTGCTTGCCAAGGGCCAGACTCTGTGCTTAGTACTTTCCCCCCATTACCTCATTTAAACCTCAACAGTCCAGTGAGATAGTCTCCCTTCCTTCTATTTCTGCATAGACAAGGAAGGTAAGGTCCAGAGAGTTACAGTGAGAGTTTCAGAGAAGGCAAGGTCCAGCAGGTCCAGCTCTAGAACTGGAGCTCAAGTGTCTGCTTACAAAGCCTTTGGCCTCTTCCCTGCATTGCTGCCTCAAAGATTAAGATAGTGTTTTGTCTTTGGAAACGAGAGTTTTTTTTAACTCTCCTTTCAGAATATAGACAGTTCTTAAATTCTAGGTAGCTGCTTTTGAGCCTTGTGCTACATGGAACAGACTAGAAGGGTAACATTGCTGACTGATTCTCCCAGATAGGACCTCCTGGTGTAGGTCCTCAGGTCTTCAGGATACCAGAGGAGTCATTCTCCCAGGGAAACTCCATATATACAGGTACATCGGTACCTTTGTTGAAAGATCTTGAGTCATTTGCATCTATCTCTTAGAGTGGAACCAGAAGCTGTGTCCACATAGGACCACTCTCCCTACCATGTAGCTACTCCCTTTCAGTCAGTGACACCTGCCCAGTTGGAGCAGCTCGTGCCTGGGGAGTGTGCAAATATTGGGATGTTCTTAATAAAAGTGGTAACAGTTGACATTTACTGGTTGCTTAACTCTATTCCAGGTACTATTCAAAGCGCTTTCTAGGTATTATCTCATTCCCCCTCAAAACAATCTTTTGAGGTACATATTGACAGAAGAGAAAAACTGGAGGCACAGGAAAATTAATTCGCCACAGCCAAGAACTCAGACCATCTGACTCAAACATCTAAGGATCCATCTCCTGATCTTCCAACAAAATTTTCTTGAGTTTCTTTTCTTAATCAAGAGCTGAAGTATAGACCAGAGATTAAGCCAGTCCTTTCCTTGGATGAGCCTCTATTTTTTTGGAGGCAAGCAAGCATAGTAGGTGAACAGAGATACTCGAAATCTGGGAAATCAGAAAGGTTAGGAGTTTGGTGAAATACGTAGGAAACAGGATTAATGATAAAAGATTTGGAGGAGGTAGCCTTGAACTGTCATTTATTTGAAGAGACTATAACCCAACTGCTGTGTAAATTCAGAAGTTATACATGAGTTCCTCATTGCATGTCTAAGGATTGGTGAGGTAGTCACTTGCGAGAGCTCCTTAAAAATAGTTTCCTGGGTCCTGCCCAATAGGTGGTTGAGTGATGGCAGGATGAGCCAGGTCTTGGAACCACTATTTTAGTCCGTGTCCCTGACTCTGAGGAAGGTTAGCAAATTGATGTCTCCTAAATCTGAAAGGGATCAATAGCTTTCCCCCTACTACTGTAGTTTACTGTGGCTTACCCTTGGGAAGATAACCAATACTCAGTGTGAGCCTGCCTGTGTCAGGTATTAAGGTAAAGAAAAGGGAAGACAAGAGGAATCCGTTCAGAAAGTAAAGACTCACAAAGGAGATGTGGTGAACAAAGCAAAAGAACCCACAGTCAAATGCTGGATTGTACAGGTGAGAACATAAGATGAAAGGGTTAGAGGAGAGAAAACATTGTGGGTAACTCAGACATCTGCTTCTGGTTTGATGGCTACTTTTTTAGTAATTTTACTCCCTTTAGCATTAGTCCTTTCATCCTGCTCATCCCTGTGAGCTAGGCTAGGACTCCTGAGCTGAAGGGTGCCCAGCACCCTCAACCTAGGAGGCTCACCATTGTTAATGTCCATGTCACCACGTCCAGGTAAATGACAGAATGGGACTAGTTCTTGGGAGACTGGGCTATATAGCATCATACTTTGAGGAAGATGGGACTCCTGTCCTTAAGGTCATCCCAGCTCTAGAGACAACCAGATACATGTGTGGAAACTCACAAATCAGACACCTACAGGGAAGTGGGCCAGGAGGTTTGGCCACAAAGAAAGGCCCTCCCAGAGTGACGAGTTCTGTGCTAGTTTGGAGGTCTAACCACTCAACCCAAGAAAGGTCCTAGCTTTTGTAAAAGAAGGGGCTGTATTAGATGATTCTACTACAGGCACTCCAGCTCCTAAGGGTCTAGACCCTGCTGGGCAGTGCAGATGCCTGAGGAACCATCAGGCCCTTCTCTGGTTGGGCCAGCTCCTACTTGGAGTCCCCAGTTTTACCTTGTTTTCAGTCTCCTCTTTCAAGGTGCTTCCTCCTCCCTATAGTCCATCAGTTCTCTTCCCACTTGGCCCCCAACTTGGAAAGCAGGCCAAGTCTCCCCTATAATCCCCAGGTCAACCCATTGGCCTTTAAGGCTTCTGTGCTGTTACATGTGACAGGATAGCTCGGAGCCAAGGAATAACTAATCAAGCTCCCAGAGCTCCCAATCAAGGCCTTAGATTTGTCTTGGCCCTTGATTACTACTAAGACTACTAGCCACAGACCACCCATTAGCTTACCAAGGACAGGAGCTAAAAAACCCCAACAGTGTGGGAACGAGATTTTCTGTTGGGGATATCCACCCCATAGTTTCCATCACACAAACAGTTGTGAATATCAAGTATCCTGGACCGCACTGCTCTTAACTGACCACAGAGAAGGCTGCGTCTTCTCCAGAAATAGAAATTTAGCACTCTCAGAAACCTGTTTTAATCTCCCTTCATCCCTCACAGTAACTTTCATAAAATCCTTCCTTCTGTTTAAGCTAAATCTGGTGTTCTGCAGTCTTAAATACCCTCATTTTTTTTCTTGCTAAGGCCAACATGGACATAGCCAACTACATCAGAATCCTAGAATGTTGGCTAGAGATTGGGAGGAGTGATCCCTTTTCAACAATAACATAGAAATATGTTCCTAACATGGTAATGTTTCTGATAAGGTTTTCAGGACTAAGATGAAGGTGAAAGTAGGAAAGCCAGGCAGTGAACTGTATAGAGAAGGTAGTCCAAAAAAGTGTGCGGAGTGCCCTGTTCCCCACTCCAGGCTCCCTTCCTTCTGCCCCTCCCCCCACAGCAGAACCTGGCCACTTGTCCAAGCTGATGTTGTTGTCTTAGCCTTAAGACTGGCCAGATGCACAGCTGGGCCTAGATCAGCTATTTCATCCTGTGGGGTCTCTGTTTTACTTGCTTGATCTTTAGTGAATGCCTATTCTGTGGCCTGTAGCCAGTGGACCTTTGGAGTATGATGTTCAGGGCAGATGCTAGGCTGGAGATGTCAACTGGGAACTTAGTTTAGATAGAAGCTAGGAGCCTTGGAAGTGGGTGAGAACAAAGAAGAGCAAGAGAGGAGAGACCTTTGGGAGCCACCAATATTTAGGGGAAGCCAGAGGAAGAAACATTGGTGAGAGATTCTGATGAACAGCCAGAGGTAACCAAGGACAAGACCAGGCTGTGTTCTCACAGACTGGGGAGAGGTGGGGAGTGGCTGGGATGAAGGAAAGGATTCAGAAATGTAGGTTCACTAGGAATTGTGGGACAGGCTGACGGGGAGGAGGCGCGACTGGGATGGCGGAATGGAGGCTGCAGAGCTTGGGCTTCACTTCGGCCAAAGCAAGGCCCACCTTTATCTCTTAAATATTAGGCCTCTGAATAAGATTTCATTTGAACAGAGGAAACTGCTGCTTTAAAAAAAATCATCAAACAACTGATACGCAAAAGGAAACACTTTGAAAACACAAAGCAGGGTAAACTGGGAACATGTTGTTGGCATCTATTTTCTAGATTTGGGCTAGAGTGACCTAGAGGAGTAAATCAATGCTAAGTGAGGGCAAGACATTTCAAGGTTGTGAATAGCAGTCTTAAAACCCACCAAAAAAAAAAATACCAAGCCTCCAAAGTCACCCAGAAGTCGGAAATATGGAATTGTACAACTTATAAGCCAGCTGGTTGCCAGAAAAACGGACTTTTTCCTTCACACAGTGGGATTTGGGGGTCCTTTAAGCCTGTAGTGCGCTCTTCCCTCAAACTGGAGCACCAGAGACTTCGCAGTTGATGGCCAGGAGAAGACGTGGTGTTAATGAGATAAAGGCAAAAAAGGGTCTGACCAATCTTGACTGAGTGCTGGGCAACTTTATTTTTAATCTCACAACAACCCACTGCAGTAGGTATTCTTTTTCTTAGTTTAGTTATAAGAAAATTGAGAAGATAAATGACTTGCCAGCTAGGAAGTAGCTAAACTGGGATTCTGACCAATAAGGTGCTTTGGGCTGGAAGTGGAAAGCAAGCCTCAGATGCTCCTCACCTGGATATTCCTAAAATGGCAATGGTCTTCTTCAGTTAGCAGAGATTCTGTCGGCAGGGCACTGGCGCTGACATCTTTTCAGCAGAGCCATTAGAGTGCAGGTCCTAAATGCCTCTCAGTCACCACCTTCCATAAGCACCCTATAGAACTGTGACTGAGAGCATGTGTGTGTGATTCCTGTAGGACAGGGTGTCAGAGGGGTGACAGTTTTGAGTGTTTGTGTTGTGAACTGAGGATGCATGTATATGATTGGGAGGCAAATCTTGCCTCTTTGAGGATAACTTTTTTCAGAAAGGGCCAGAAATCATTGAAAATTATCTGGGAACAAACTGCTCTAGGAGTTAGGGAGGTAAAGAGGGTGGATCAAAGGGCACAGTGTTACCCCAGAACCCAACTTGGATCATGGGTCCTAATATATATAGAGACAACACATGGTGGAACAAAGATTTGCCTCGGCTACTTGTCTTGGGCAAATCACTCTACTACTCTGAGCCTCAGTTTGGTCAACTACAAACACAATAATCCCTAACTCACACAAAAGAAGACTCCTGGGAATCATAGCCTGGCCTCCCATGTGACATCTCCAAGGAAGGCCCTTACCTACATCCAGTCACTCTTTTTGTCCTCACTGATAGGATAGGGGACAGGTGGATGCTGGCAGTGAAGCTGGATGACCAGTGTCTCCAAATCAAATACTTAGTATCCCGGAGTCTGGGAGTGGCTGTGCCATGCAGGCATCAATGTACTGAGTCAGAAACAAGCACTGGACCCCTTCCAAGGGGTCTCTTTGCCTGACTGCTGTGCACACTGGGGTTTCAGAGGTGAATTAAGAGTTGCTGCCCTTGAGGAGCTTGGTCTAGAAGGTGTTCGGGAGGGGATTTCCATCAGGGTGGTGCATTTCGGAGGGCAAGGAGTGTCAGCTAAGCCTGGTTCTCTGAGTGGGAGTAACTATTCTAGTTGCCCATGTTCCATAGGTAACTTTGTCCACAGTATACCCCCTGCAGTCTATATTTATAGTCAAATGCTTGGGCCTTTGGCCTCCACAGAAGCTCAGAACCTCGCTAGGTGTATTAAAGTGCATTTTTATCATCACATGTGATCTTCATAACAGGGTAAGGATTGCTACATTATATTCTTGTACAGGACAGGAGGCTGAGCCACAGATAAGAAGATAAAGTGGAAACCATGGGACTCAACTTCCAGACTAATGTTCTTTCTGCTTTACCACTCTAGCTCATCTCACATTCACACAGTATCTGTTATGCCTTCATCTAGGGCTGAGTCTTGGGAAATAGAACACAAATTTGAGCTGGGGCTCCAGACACCAGAAGATCTCTGTTCTAATATAGAAAAACTTGGTCTTTACTCTAGGGAGCCCCCAGTCTGAGAATGACCTCAAACTCCATGGTTGTGCCAGGTGCTGGGCTTCCCACTGAATAC